GTCAGATTGTGTTTAACCAGGCTCAGATTAAAGTCAGCCTCAGACAGAGCAGTGCTTATAGTTAGTAATGTTGATGGCATCAGCTGCAAAGTGTCAATACTAGATTTATTAAACCTTTATCCAAGTCGACGTGCAGCACAGGAGCAGAGCACGTGTGTTTAAGTAACACACAGACGCGTCACTGAACAAATGCAAGGAGTGTAATGCCACAATGTGTAACATCCACAGCAAAGCAGTAACCATGGAGACCATGTAACCTCTCCTGGAGGGTCCGCCACCTGCATGTCTCCATGGACATATTATCTCTTTCTTTGTCTGCAATGTTCCACAGTAAGACATTAAACTTGTCTATCTCCATGGATACAAGGCAAACGCCTCCACCAGATCAGAGGTCAGGTCTGTGGAGAGGCAAACCCACTCACAGTAAGAATACGCCTACATGTTTACATGATTCTTTCTACATGGATGTCCCCACACACTACGTGTGCACACACACTGTCCTAAACACCCGCCCGCGGCCCGCACTGTCACAGCCCCGCGGGGACAGGAGGCGCCTGACCCGGTGTCTCATCCTGAACAGACTCGCGGTGTCCACGAACGGACTGGTCGCGTCCTCATCGTCCGACACGTAGATGTGGTCCCAGGCGCTGTAGTCGATGCCCGCCGCGGAGCTCATGTCCCCAGAGAGGTGTTCACTTTACGGCCGCTGGAGTCAGACAGCGACGCTCCGGAGGACACACAGCCGTAATCTGATTAGAGACAAGCCGGTTACACTAAGCGCACTGCCAGCGCGCACCGCCAGCGCGCACCGGCACCGCGCACCGGCACTAAGCGTAGTTCTAGGCGCATAGACTAGACTACCAAGCACCGGGACACCGGGACATGCGCCGAGTTAAACTGATCCAAACTGATGATTGAACTCTGCAGCCGCGGGTCATGAAGGAAGACTGAGTTCCAACACAAAAACAGGGAGTCACAGCTGCCTTGGGGACACACTGATGTTAAAAGACTCAGGAAACAGTCGACTTCTCCACATGAGTGGACAAACTGTCACTGGACCCACAAATCAGTCAGTCCGCTGGACACAGGTCAGGCACAGTGTGAGCTCATTTACAATCATGATGAAACAAGAGCTAATAAATCTATTCAAGATTCAAAACAGTTTTTATTCTTAAATCCTGTCACGAGCCCAGGTCAGTGTCCTTCAGTTACCTCCACTTCACACGATCATTGGCACAGCTGCACACAGAGCACGTGTACGTGTGTACGTGTGCACATGTGGCAGTGTGAAGGAGCAGGAGAAGCTCTCAGGTCTGAGGGGGGGTGTGTGTGTGGAGACTTCTACTACTGCATGTTTACAGCTCATGTTTATACAAGATCTTTATCTGGTGTTTGAACACAGGTCTGAGGGTCAGTGCAGGTCGACCTGAGCGCAGTGTACAGATGGAAGCCCCGGCTCATTTCCTCATCATTACACAGGGCGTGTGTGCGCCACTTTTCACTGCACATCTACACTAACTACTACTACTACTACTACTACTACTACTACTGCTACTACTGCTACTACTACTACTACTACTACTACTACTGCTACTGCTACTACTGCTTACTACTACTGACTACTACTACTACTACTACTACTACTACTACTACTACTACTACTACTACTACTACTACTACTACTACTACTACTACTACTACTACTACTACTACTACTACTACTACTACTACTACTACTACTACTACTACTACTACTACTTACTTTACTACTACTGTACTACTAATTATTTACTACTACTTACTACTACTAACTAAACTACTACTTACACTACTTCACTCTACTACTTTGTACTGTTGACCCATTTAATACTTTATTTGTTATAAAGTTGATTGCCGCCCTCTAGTGGACGCCTTTGGTTTTAAGTTTTGTTTTTCTACCGCACGTGCTCACTTACAAGCGTGATCGGTTCGCAGTCTGACAGAATACGTCTCTCTGTTTTCGGCCTTGGGGCATCTTTGTCCGTAAGTTTGGCTTGTTTTGTGTTATAATATTGTTTTCTTGTATTGTTATAAATATCTGAAGGTTGGAACGGTGGTTTTGGCGCATTCGCGGTGTTGCTTATTGCTAGTTTCTTTGCTAGCTCCGTCCTGTGTTTGGGCTGGGTAGTGGGGCTTTTATTTTTGTCGTAACATGCACGATTTGTTAATACACATCTTTTGTGTGTTTGTTGCAGTTTTACAAAAAAAAGGAAAAACGGAAAAAAGAAAAAGACAAAGAGACAAATGTGGAAATAAACGTCCGTAAAGACAAGTCTTTTCCATATGGTCGTGTGGACTCTCTTTTTTGTATGTTCGCTATCTGTCTAGCCCTGGTAGAGACGCCATCGTGAGGACAGAATAGTAAAAGGACATTGCACAGCGGGCTAAGACAAGATCAACTGTCACCATCGCACTGTGAACGAACAACTCAAGATGGAGCAGCAAGACAAGACGGACCAAACACAAAAACTATATGAGACCAGGTCAGAAGCTTCAAGATCAAGCAGGTCCTCAGCTAGTGCTGCAGCCACCAAAGCCAAAGCTAAAGCTGAAGCAGCCCTAGTAGAAGCCAAATATGCAGCTAAAGAAGCACAAGTGATGAAAGAAAAGGCTAGAATAGAAGCAGAAAATCAAAAGATGTTAGCTGAAGTAGCTCAACGTAAAGCAGAGCTAGAGGCTAATCTGTACGTGCTAAAGACAGAGAGGAGCGCCACCGCAGCCTCAGCAGAAGCAGCAGTCTACGAGGCCGCAGCAGCGATGGAGAATGACCCTCTCGACGACTTCAACCAGATCCCTCCACAGGACACTGCTCAACGCACCAGCGAGTATGTGCAGGCCCACTATGCACCAAAACCTCAGCACGAACCTCCAGTCCATCAGCAGCCGCCTGTCACATCTTCCAAAGCACAACGAGCACCGTCGTCACCTCTGCCTGACCAAACGCAGTGGTACCCGCTTCCTTACAGGGAAGCAAGTCTACCGAATTCCTTTGTTAAGAATGAGGTAATGTTTAGCACTCCATGCAGAGCCCAAACACGTTATCCTCCTGCTCCGATGTCTCACACATCCAGTCTTAGAGACTACCCTTGTGAAGCAGCACCACTGACTGATCTCACTAAATATCTAGTTAGGAGAGAAATGGTAAGCTCTGGACTATTAAAGTTTGATGACTGTCCAGAAAACTATTGGGCCTGGAAAACTTCTTTCCAGGATGTTACCAGAGAGCTCAATCTAACAGCTAGAGAGGAGCTTGACTTGCTGATAAAGTGGCTCGGCCCAGATTCATCTCCACAAGCAATGCGAATCAGGTCAGCTTATGTTCACAATGCCAACGCAGGTGCCAACATGGTTTGGCAAAGATTAGATGACACTTATGGTTCACCTGAGATTATTGAACATGCACTTTTGTCAAAGCTAGAGAACTTTCCCAAAATCTCTAACAAAGACAATCAGCGTCTCAGAGAGTTAGGAGACATCCTAATGGAGATAGAGTTAGCTAAGTCAGGGGGGCGTTTACCTGGTTTAGCTTATCTTGATACAGCCAGAGGAGTAAACCCTATTGTAGAAAAGCTTCCTTATGGACTGCAAGAACGCTGGATCACGTATGGCTCTAGATATAAGGAAGTGCATAATGTTTCCTTTCCACCTTTCAGCTATTTCGTTAACTTCATTTCCAGCCAAGCAAAGACCCGAAATGATCCAAGCTTTTCCTTTTCTTCAACCTGCATCACAAGTCAAATAAAACAAGACAAACCAGTGAGACATTACAGTAACAACAAAACAGTGTCAGTTAGAAAAACTGAGGTTATGGCTACACCTGTAACACCCAATAACAGTAGTCAAGAAAAGAGAGTAGATGAGCCAGCAGATCGTTGTCCAATGCACAACAAGCCACATCCCCTAGCAAAGTGTCGTGGGTTTAGGGGAAAACATTTAGATGAAAGGAAAGCTTATCTAAAAGAAAACTCAATCTGTTTTCGTTGTTGTGCATCCACTAAACACTTGGCTAAAGACTGTAAGGTTGCTGTTAAATGCAAAGAGTGCAATAGTGACAGACACATTAGTGCCCTCCACCCTGGACCTGCTCCTTGGTCCACGGGAGCACAAGCGATGGAACAAGAGCATGGCGGGGAGCAAGACAATGCCTCATCTCCCGAGGTCACCTCTAAATGTACTGAGATATGTGACAAAACACAAGGACTCAGATCGTGCTCAAAAATCTCTCTAGTGAATGTGTACCCAGCAAACCGCCCAGACAAAGCTCAAAAAATGTATGTGGTCTTAGATGACCAAAGTAATCGCTCTTTGGCAAAATCAGATTTCTTTGAGCTGTTTGACATTAGTGAAGCTCCATCTACTTACACTTTAAAAACCTGTGCAGGCATTAGTGAAGCTACAGGTAGGAAAGCTCACAACTTTGTTGTTGCGTCACTTGATGGACAAACACACATAGCATTACCCCCTCTTTTAGAGTGCAATACAATGCCAGATGACCGCAGTGAAATTCCCACACCTGACATTGTACAGTATTTTCCTCACCTAGCACCAATAGCAGGTAAAATACCACCACTAGAGCAAGACACGCCCATCCTTCTGTTATTGGGACGAGACATTCTCAGTGTACACAAAGTGCGCGAGCAGTACAATGGCCCGCACAACACACCTTATGCTCAGCGGCTAGATTTGGGGTGGGTTATTGTGGGTGAGATCTGTCTGGGGAGAGCTCACAAGCAGACTAAAGTGAATGTTTACAAAACTAGCATTCTACAAAACGGCCGCACTTCCTTCCTCGAGCCTTGCACTAGCGCCATTCATGTAAAAGAGACATTCACTCTCCCTAAACTGCAAACTGTTGTTTTCGGTGACATGGAGGCAGCTCTACTCAAACAGCCAGACACTCTAGGGCTCAACGTGTTCCAAAGAACGCCTGATGACGATAAACCAGCCTTGTCTCTTGAGGACAAAATCTTCCTTGAGATCATGGACAGGGAGGTGTACATGGACAGTGACAACCACTGGGTGGCGCCCTTACCCTTTCGTAATCCACGCCCTCTCCTTCCCAACAACAGAGAACAGGCTCTGAAACGCCTCACTGTTTTGAAACGGACATTAGATAAAAGGCCAGACATGAAAGAACAGTTCATAGATTTTATGGAAAAAATCTTTGCAAATGACCAAGCAGAAATTGCCCCAGAACTAGAACCAGGTGAAGAATGTTGGTACCTACCGATATTTGGAGTGTACCACCCCCAGAAACCAGGCAAAATCCGAGCCGTGTTCGATTCAAGCGCCCAGTTTAATGGCATCTCTCTTAATGACACTCTTCTTAGGGGACCAGACTTAAACAATACACTGCTTGGTGTTCTTTTGCGCTTTAGAAGAGAGCAGGTAGCAGTTACTGTTGATGTAGAGCAGATGTTTTACTGCTTCAGAGTAAAGGAAAGTCACAGAAACTATCTCAGGTTCCTATGGTTCAAAGACAATGACCTGAACAAAGAAATAATAGAGTTCCGCATGAAAGTTCCAGTATTTGGGAACAGTCCATCCCCAGCTATTGCTATCTATGGACTGAGACGAGCAGCTGAGCTAGGGCAGGAAGAATACGGCTCAAACACAAAACAGTTTGTCTTTCGCAATTTCTATGTTGATGATGGACTGGTTTCTGTGTCCAATGAGAGCCAAGCTATTGAACTTTTGTCTCGAGCAAGAAAAATGCTGGCTGAATCAAACATACGGCTTCACAAAATCGCCTCAAACGTCAGTCAGGTCACTAATGCATTTCCACTAGAGGAGCGAGCAGCAGATCTTAAGGATTTAGATCTGGATGTGGACCCTCTGCCTCTTCAACGAAGTCTTGGGCTTGGGTGGAACTTAGAAAATGACTCTTTTACATTCCAAGTGGGAAAAGATACTAAGCCATTTACCCGCAGAGGCATACTTTCTGTTGTAAACAGCCTATATGACCCCCTAGGGTTCGCTGCCCCAGTGACAATTCAGGGCAAAGCACTGTACAGGGAGCTAACTCTAGAACAACAGGACTGGGATGAACCTCTACCAACAAACAGGGAGATAGAGTGGACCAGATGGACTGAATCACTTACTGCTCTTGAAGGTCTCCAAATCCCCAGACCCTTTGTACCAATTTCACTGTCACATACTCAAACAAGGGAACTATGCATTTTTTCAGATGCTTCAACAATGGCAATAGCAGCTGTAGCTTACCTCAGGGTTGTTGACACAAATGGTCAGTGCCATGTGGGGTATATGATGGGTAAATCTAAACTAGCGCCATCTTCTGCCCACACAGTCCCACGCCTAGAACTGTGCGCAGCTGTTTTAGCAGTCGAACTCGCTCAGATAATCATCGAGGAAAGTGACATTGAGTTTCAAGCTGTCGACTTTTATACTGACAGTAAGATAGTTCTTGGGTACATTCACAACAGCACTCGTCGATTCTATGTGTATGTAGCTAATAGGGTTGCCCAGATCCGCAGATCAACCACACCCGACCAGTGGCATCATGTGGCCACAGACCAAAATCCAGCAGACCATGGTACCAGGCTCGTTCTCGCATCACAACTGCAATACACAACCTGGCTCTCTGGTCCTCTGTTCTTAAAGGTCAATACTGAGCAACGTGATAAGCCTGAAAGTTTTGATCTTGTGGATCCATCAGTGGACATGGAAATCCGTCCTCAAGTGACCACTTTAGCAACAAACGTCAAGGAGAACAAGCTTGGCTCACACAGATTTGAGCGTTTCTCAACCTGGAAATCCTTGGTTAGGGGAATGCAAGCTCTCATTCACATGGCAAGGTCGTTTTCAAAGGTCATACCTACGGACCACTGTGATAAACACTCCACAGATCTCTCTCAAGCAAAGACAGTTGTTATCAAATGTGTTCAACAGGAGATCTTTAGAGAGGAAATCAAAAGACTTTCTGAGGGAAAAGAGATATCCTCGCACAGTCCCCTTGAAAAACTTGATCCCTTTATTGATAGTGAAGGTTTGTTAAGGGTTGGGGGACGTTTGCAAACAGCAGATCTTTCTGAACTAGAAAAACACCCCTTGATTATCCCAGGTTCTCATCATTTAGCAGTTCTCTTAGTCAGACACTATCACAACCAAGTAGCTCATCAGGGACGTCAGTTTACGGAGGGTGCTCTGCGCACCGCAGGACTTTGGGTTCTAGGGGCTAAAAGACTGGTTTCTCGCATAATTCACCAATGTGTCACATGTAGGAAACTAAGGGGTCGTCTAGAGGAACAAAAAATGGCAATTTTACCTGCTGATAGGCTTACCATTGACCCGCCATTTACTTACGTAGGTTTAGATGTTTTTGGACCTTGGAATGTCACATCCCGCCGCACAAGGTCAAACAGTGCTGAGAGCAAAAGGTGGGCAGTGATGTTTACATGTCTTTGTACTAGGGCAGTGCATATAGAAGTTGTCGAGTCAATGTCCACCTCCAGCTTCATAAACGCTCTCCGACGATTCTTGTCAATCAGGGGACCAGTCAAACGCCTTAGGTCAGACCAAGGTACAAACTTTATCGGTGCCTGTAAGGAGTTGCGA